CCCTGATTATGGGCCTCACAGTCGGCCTTAACTCACCCTTAATGCCCCTGATTACGGGCCTCACAGTCGGCCTTAACTCACCCTTAATGCCCCTGATTACGGGCCTCACAGTAGGTCTTAACTCACCCTTGATGCCCCTGATTACGGGCCTCACAGTAGGCCTTAACTCACCCTTATTGCCCCTGATTACGGGCCTCACAGTAGGCCTTAACTCACCCTTATTGCCCCTGATTATGGGCCTCACAGTAGGCCTTAACTCACCCTTATTGCCCCTGATTATGGGCCTCACAGTAGGCCTTAATTCACCCTTATTGCTTGCCTGCTGCTTGTGGATAGGTTGGTTTCTCGCCCCTTGGTTTCGTCTCCATGGAATTGGTCTTGAGGCGAGATGATACGGGAAAATGCCAGCCTGTGGTGTGACATTCTGCCCTATTCACTGTCATTTCAGATCAGTGGCACCGTGGCTGAATTTAGATATAGACCTTCATGCCAAGAAACATGTTCAAGGTGTCAAGCACATCTACAAACTCAAACACATTCACTCTGCCCTTCATGCTGATATTCATCTGCATGAATGTCACCCACTTGCAACGCATTAGTTCCACACAGACAATCATTCCTCCTTCTCTCTTCACTGTCACCTGTGTGAACTCCATCTGGCATTTCGTCACGGATGGGGTCAAAGATCTTACCCAGTGCATCCACGGAAGGTTTGCTTGAGATCTGTCGCAGTCTGGATGCAGAGCTTGGGCCAGGGGTCAAGGAGTCACTGCGGGGGGTCGGGGTAATGGATTTAGACACTGGAGTGGTGGCCTTCTCATTCTGTGAAAAAGTAAAGAAAGTAATGACGAGATCTATATAAATTCATCTTACAGACAAGTTTTCATCCCTGCTGAAGGACTGTACTGTCTCCGTCCCGTTGATGTCAAGGTCAATGTCATTTTGAAGCTTTTGAAGAAAGATAGTAGCGTCCCTCTACAAAACAAACAATTTTAACGTATTTTTTTAAACCCCTTTCACTTTTCTCCTGAAGATGCTGCAGTTCCTTTGTGTGTCACCTAAGAAAGTATGCTCCACTTGTGGCTATGTACCACACCTAGGGAGGTCGTGAGGTGCAGTGGGTCTTATTCCCCCTCTCAGAGCCAGGGAGCTCCAAGTTCAAGTCCCACGTCAGAACTGGATGGCCAAGCCAAGGTGTGTTCATAATGCAGCCAAGCAAGTTGTAAATCCTCCCAATGCATGCCAATGGCAGGTGGTAAGTGTGGGAGAAATTCCTAGTCAGCCATGCGATGGACAGAAAGGCACTGATGGATCAAGGAGCGGCAGCTTGAGTTTAATTGAGATAAATGTGAGGTATTGCATTTTGGTAAGGCAAATCAGGGCTGGACCTATACGCTTAGGGGTCTTGGGGAGTGTTGCTGACCAAAGAGAGCTTGAGGTGCAGGTTCATAGTTCCTTGAAAGTGGAGTCGCAGGAAGATAGGATAGTGAAGAAGGCATTTGGTACGCTTGCCTTTATTGGTCAGTACATGGAGTATAGGAGTTGGGAGGTCATATTGCAGCTGCACAGGACATTGGTTAGGCCATTTTTGGAATACTGTGTTCAATTCTGGTCTCCCTGCTTTAGGAAGGATGTTGTTAAACTTGAAAGGGTTTAGAAAAGATATACAAGGATGTTGCCGATGTTGACGGTCTGAGCTATATGGAGAGGCTGAGGTTATTTTCCCTGAGGCATCAGAGGCTGAGAGGTGACCTTATAAAGGTTTATAACATCATGAGGGGCATGGATAGGGTGAATAGCCAAGGTCTTTTTCCCAGGGTGGGGGGAGTCCAAAACTAGAGGGCATAGGTTTAAGGTGAGAGGGGAAAGATATAAAAGGGACCTGAGGGTTAACGTTTTCACACAGAGGGTGGTGCGTGTATGGAAAGAGCTGCCAGAGGAAGTGGTGGAGGCTGATACAATTGCAACATTTAAAAGGCATCTGGATGGGGACATGAATAGGAAGGGTTTACAGGGATAAGACGAGTTAGAGCGAAGGGTTTGTTTCTGTGCTGAACAACTCTATGACTCACTATGTATAAGCTCCTGACTATGACCTACTTACAAAAATACGTGTTAGCACAGCAACTCAGACTCTCAGTGATCCATAACACCCTGCACACATTTTACCTTAGGCGGATGGGGAACCACAGCTAACCCCTGTGTTCTCCACATGCGTTCCAACCTGTGTAGGTGGACAATGATCAGGAACAGAGAGCTTGGCTATAACCTTTCTACTGAAGCCACAGCAGGTAGGGAGTAACTGCTCCCACTTCAGAAAGGATCAAGAACAAGAAGGCGTAGATTAAAAGAAACAGCTAAAAGGACTGCTAAAGGACAGCTAAAAAAGTGATCTGAGCGAAAACATTTTCATGCAGCCAGTGGGTGGGGTATGAAGAAAACTGTTGCTGGTGCAGGGGAGGCAGGTTTGATCAATGGAACTAGGTCAATATTTGAAAATGAACACTGTTCTGGCTTTTGGAGTGACAGCTATAATGGCACTAAGTGAATTGCTTATTTGGAGAGCCCAATGGGCTGAATGGCCTCCTTCTGTGATTCTGTGAACTATTGCAAATGGAGAATGGTTCACAGCGACAGCTCACATGCTGCTGCAGGGACTGAGATTGGCCAACAGACTGGGGATGGAGCTGAGCACTTTGCTCATCTTCATGACCCACTATCTCATTAGTTAGGTTTGCTCACTAAACTGTTGAAGAAAGGCAGGAATGAATTTGTCTTTGCGTAGACCATACCTTGTCACAAAGAACTTCACGACTATGGAATGATCTTGATACACAGGAGCTGGTGCTTTGTTGGTAAAGGCAGCATCATTTACAAGAAGCAATATCCCACAGAAACTGTTTTGAGATCAAAGGACCAGTTAATCTGTTTTTGTGATGCTGAATAAGTAACAAACATTGGTCTGGCCACCTGTGAGAATTCTCCATCTCTTTTTTCCGAACAGACCTGGAGGGGAATTTTAACTTGCGCCTGAACAAACAGAAGGCAGCAACACTTTCAATTATTTTACACAGTTGCAGGAGCTGAACCTTATTCAAAATAAATAGCATTAAAACATCCCCAAAGTGGAATGTATCTAAGAACATCAGGTAAATGTAGTTCTCTCAATTAATTCTGAGGGCATCAAAACAATTTTGCTCCTGTTTGAGTTAATGACGCTGAACATCAGACATTTATTATGTTATAAGTATTAGATATTTTCTAATCAACCTGCCGAGAGATGTTACCACACAGCTCTGGAGCAGGTGGGACTGGAACCCAGGCCTCCTGCTCAGAGTACGAGCACTGCCACCTCACCACAACAGTACCTACATATAAGAATTTATACAGAAGTGCTACTAAGGCAACTGTCAACAATCTGTAAATAAAATCACATTTTATGATGCTTTTAAGCCAATAAAGTACCTTTTAAGGTAGTCACTGTTGTCATATAAAAGACTGAAGAGGAAAATTTTTGGCAGAAATATCCCACAAAAAGCCAGGTGATGATGTGTTAACAACATCTGTTTACAGAACACTGGTGGGGATTACTCAGCTCTTTTGCGACGAGGAGTTGAGAAGGTTGACGGGAATGCAGTTTAACACCTCACCTGAAAGATGCTAACTCTGACATAGTGCACGCTCTCTTTGCTGAGCCATGTGCTCAGGCCAGCAGTGGGTCGTGAACCCATGACCCCTTAACTCGGAGGTCAGCGATCACGGCTGAAGGCTACGGATGGCCTTGAGCTCTCAAACACACCCAGAAATGTCCGAAAACATCACATGTCAGCGTTCTACTTACCAGGACGGCCTCTTTGGATTTGGCGGGCGGCGTGCTGCGCGAGGAAGCCAAGGATGCAGGGCTGCTCGGAGCATCCTTCCTCAAAAGGTGAAACTTATCCAGGCCGTTTCCACGGGGCGAGTGGGGTGGGCTGCCTTGTGGAGACGATGGATCCTGCATTCAAACAGAATCAAATGATCAGAAAGTGGTCTAACCTGGGTCTCCGCTGTGTAAACCAGCACAAGCTAAATACCTCCATATTGTAGAAAGGCACTGGAGAAGGGGCATTAAAAATCGGGAAGAATGAGGCCACAATTGAGAGTTTGAACCTTTCTGAGAAGAGTGAACAGATTCAGGCACTTTTCTCTTTCACAGTAACCTGTTGGAGGCCTTCAGGGTTAGTGAGCCGGCACAGCAGGGTAGATATAGAAAACGTGCCTTCAATTGCAGATGAGACTAGAAGTAGGAGCTATAAATATAAGTTAGTCACTACTAAATCCGAAAACAAATTCAGGAGAAATGCTATTAAAGGTAAAGTCACCACAGACCTGCTCTCCCATTAGAGAGGGACGACTTGTGGTGGTTTAACCTGAGCGTCACCACACCTCAAGCAAGGGGAGAAGTCAAGAAGGAGGAACCTTCAAGGTAACCTCAGCTGGCCTGGGAATTGAAACTGTGCTGTTGGCATCATTCTGCAAACCAGCCATCCAGCCAACTGAGCTAACTCACCCCCAGAAAGTGGTTGTAAATGAGGAACATATTACCACATGGAATAGTTTGAAGTGAACAGTCTAGATGAATTCAAGGTAAGTTGGATAAGTACACAATTGAGCAAGGAATAGAAGGATATATTAATGGGACCGTTTGATCATGGGAGGAAGCTACGCAAAGTATAAATACTGGAATAGGCCGACTTCTGTGTTACTAATATTGTGGAGTATGTTATCATTAACATAACGGATCTCCTATTGATGGGGACAGTGAGTGTGGTGCATAGTCATGCTGTGAGCACACTCTCTCCTATCCATCCCCTTTTTCTGCCTGTCCCTCAAAGTCACAGAGGCGTTTAACAGAGAATCCAGACCAAAGCAGACTCTTCCAGACCCCGACAGGAGCTGCACATTCCCCATGCTCAGTTCACTAGCTCCTCCTTCTTGGTCAAACAAGGCTCCTTCAAGGGGGAAGATTATGATGTTACCCTCTACCTGAGTACTTGCAGGTTCCATGTAGTCTGCAAGGCAAAGTACATTGCATTGTACAAAGATAGAAGCGAGCACATCAATTTGGTAGAATTCAAGGAAGAACTGGGTGAGGCAGTAATTGTTTGCTTTTAGAAGCTCAAGGGTTTTAAATTTCAAAAGAGAACAAGATGACTCCCACAATGGTCTGTCTGGGAATGAACCTAGAAATACATGCGATTTAAAACACAGAGACAGGCCATTTGGCCCCAGTGATCCTTTCCTGACCTTATGCATCATGGAATCCTCCTCCCAATCTGTTTTACATCACCCAATCAACATATTTGCCTATTCCTTTCTCCCTCACGCACTTAGCTACTGTCTGCCTAAAGTATCTATGCTATTCACCTCAACCACACCACGTGGAAGCAAGTCTGGCATTTATTCTGAGAAAAGAGAAGGGTTTTGCCTGAAATCCCTTTTGGATTTATTCGTAATTATCTTAGTTTTGATCTCCTCCAAGAGTGGAAGCATCTTCATGAGATCTTCTCATCTTAATTTTCAAGACTTCTATTAGGCACCTCCCCCCAGCCTTCAGCAGATTCTTAGAAAATGCAGATCGGTTGGAGGATTAATGTGTATTCTGATCAATCATATTATTAATATCAAGCTACGTGAGAAAATCAGACTGTTCTTTTTAATATTGTAAAACTGAAAGTAGCAATAAACCAAAGTTACTAAAAATGCATACAAACCTCATTTGAAACATCCACGACCAAGTTATCATCACTCTTATCACCATCACTGTCCTGATTATAAAAGAGACAAAGTTGTAATAGGGTACACGTAAGGCAAAGGAAAACAAAGACCATAATAATGTGCAGTGTAATACCAGCAGTCACTACTTTGAGATTGGCTGTATAAATTCCTCCTGCCCTATTTTAACACAAGTGTTAGTTCAGTGATTTGAACAGGTCTTCAATTTCACCTTTAAGCAGTGTAGAAGGATGAGCTGTGTTGACAATATTTTACAAGACAATATCCCAAGGCTTTGAAAGGATCTAGCTCTGAGTCTGGACTACAAGTGAGGAGCTCTGCTATGGACATCTATGCCATGAAATGGTAAGCTGGCGAACTAATCTTGCGAATGAAGGACACACTGACTGCACAAAGTCAAAATGTCACCCTGCAAATACTTCTGCCCACACACTTCAAAACGTTTATTCCTCATGCTAACTGTTTATGGTTACTGTCGCCTGGCTAAAAGCAGGTTCATTTACACTTTTGCATTGTACTGATCGCCAACACATGTGGGCCTTGCAATTTTTGATAACTTTATTATTCTTTTCTTGCAAGCTTAAAATCAAGACTCAGAGAACTCATGAGTGAATGGGGAAGCAAGCCACAAGCCCTTTGTTCCATTTCTAGACAGTGCAGTATAACAATGGGAATAGTGAATCACGTCAGTGCTGGAGACTGTGCACAGAATCTTCTAGAAGCTTGAACAGCGTTGATTATGGACAGAAATGTGGGAAAGACATGCCAGACTACATGCATGAGGTCTACTGCAACACTGGAAGCAACTAGTTGCATCATTTAACTGAGTTCTGGATGTCAAGGGAGATTCTTGCTAGAGAGTGGTGAGTTGCCTATTAAGGGAGATTATTGCTGGTTAACACTGTTTTTAGAAGATAATACAGATACAGATATTAGCAGAAGACACAGAAGCCCGAACACACGCACAAGCAGGTTCAGGAACAGCTTCTTTCTGGCCGTTATCAGACTGCTGAACGGACTCTAGCCTCAAATAATGTAACCTGCAATGTAACCTGTATGCCTCCGAGTCTTTTTGATCTGTACGACCTTTGCTTGCTGTGATCTGCCTGTGCCACTCGTAAACAAAGCTTTTCATTGTATTTCAGTACACCTAACAATAAAATCAAAAGAAAATCAAAATATTAACTGCACATCTTGCCTCATTAATATGCAGCTTCTTATCTTACCACTTGCCATGAGCACGCAAGATGCTGAGAATTCTCAACATGGAAGTTACTAGGAAATTTGGCTTGCTGCTTGCTTGCGAAGAGTCTCTATGCTGAACATCAGGCACCAACGTCTCAGGGTACACTCTATAGACACCTGTCCCAAGCACCCAATGTCCATGGGCATTGGCATCTGACATGTGCCAGCCTCTAAGAACCCCTCTGGTCCATTAATGGTACACATCTGCACTTCAACGCTGCACCTCTGGGTGCAATGGCAATTATTACTCTATACGGACACTTTGTGCTCAGGGTCATACACCCAGCTCATGGATTGGATCAGGTTGCATCACCGGTCTGTTTGCTTGCTCTCAGTGCTCACCCACTCTCTGAGACTACCTTCATGCTCACAGCATTCCTGCCTTGCATTCTCCTTTTGCGCCCACCCCCTCAGTCAGAGATGCCAGGCTCACAGTACTGCTATATTACTGGGCCGTTTAGTGTAATACAAAACCAGGAAGCTTGCCATGGCTTGTCAGCAGCCCACAGCTAAATCAAAAATAGATTGCTTTCACTCAGGGGATTCTGGGAACAGTAAGTCAAGGACAGTTTCTAATACCAGTCCAGGCATTCGGACACAGTCAGTTAGCTACTCGGGGCTATTAGAGTCAGGATCTTCTCCAAAGAGATTAGGAGCTAAATGTCATGCAGCCCAGTACCCATCTTGAATTTTTTTGCCCTTTTATTGCCTTTTACCTCCTGGAATGAGAGAGAGGCAAATATTAAGGGCAATGAAAAAGTCTGGCACATCAATTGCTTTTGGTGTAGAGGGGCACAATAGGGGCAGGTTGAGTAGATAACGAGGTGAGTTTGCTAACATACGGCGAGAGATCTTGTGAGGCCTCGTGGCAAGAAACTGTCGCTGAATGAAAGTGACACTTGACCGGAACAATGTAAAATACCGCCCTTTAAAATTTCTCTACAACATCAAGCACTGCTGACTGATCATTTGTGCAGGCTTATCATCCTCGATAAACTGTGTTTACTAAATAAATCATACAAACGCAGTTTAGTTCCACTCACCCGTAAATATATGGCCTTGCACACACACTATTCTGCACTAGTGACACCACTGCATGGAGACCTTCTCTATGAGGCAGGGTTTCAGCACAGCACACAGCACACCACATTTAAAATAAAAGATTTTGTTCTCATTTTTTTCTTTGTCTTCACTGCTTTTGTCCCTCTCTTCCCAAAGGGGATGTTACCCCGTAATTCTGAGAGGTGACTGCCATCCTCCCATATCGCATACTGGCTGACCTCTCCTCATGTCGGTTACATTGGGGTAGAAGCTCAACTTAGGCTGGTGTGGCTAGTGCTATGATGCCAGCTACCCATTATAAATCTTATTCGTTAATCATTTCTATTGGACTCACACTGCATGTTAACATCCAGCAACAACAACTTGCATTTATAGAGCAGCTACACCAAGGCTCTTTGCAGAAGCCTTTTATAGCAAAGTTTTAACACACAGCCACAAAAGGAGATATTTGGCCACAAGGTGTAAGATCAGAAGTAGGCCATTTGGCCCATTGAGTCTGCTCCACCATCCAATGGAGTCATAGTTGATCTAACAATCCTCAAATCCACTTTCCTGCTCTATCTGCATGACCCTTGATTAATTCCTTACTGATTATGAATCTGCCTATATTAGTCTTGAATATAATTAATGACCCAGCCTCTATAGCCCCCTGAAGTAAAGAATTCCATAGATTCACTACTCTCCAAGAAAAGAAATTCCCAATCATTTCTGTTTTAAATGGGCAGACCTTAACCTGAGATTATGCCCTCTGGTCCTAGACTCTCCCACAAGTGCAAATGACCTCTTTGCATCTATCCTGACAACACCCCATTCCCACCTGCCCAACCTCAAGAATGAGACAATGTGACTCCAATGAGTCAAATCCGACCTCTTTTCATAAGAAAATCCCTTCATACCCTGGATCAACATTCCCTGATCTGCCTCCAATGCCAGTATATCTTTTCTTAGATATGAGGATTAAAACTGTTCACAGCATTCCAGTTGTGGTCTGAACATTACCTTGTATAGTTTTAGCAAGATCTCTTTATTTTTATAGTCTCTTCCCTTTGAAGTAAAGGCCAACATTCCAAGTGCTTCTCTCATACCCATGGAACTTGAATATTAGCTTTTAGTGATTCATACACAAGGATTCTCAAATCCCTCTGTGCTATATCATCCTGCAGGTTTTCTCCCTTTAAATAATATTCAGCGCCTTTATTCTTATGGCCGAAGTGCATATCTTCATATTTTCTCATATTCTATTTTCTCTGACAAGTTTTTTGCCCATTTAATCACTCTGTCATCCTAACTACTCGCCTTCCCATATATTTGTGTGTCACCTGCAATCTTTTTGGATAGTGTATTCCCCTCCATCATTCAAGGCATTACAATATATTGTAATAACATATAGTATATAGTTTAAATAACTGTGGTCCTAGAATTGATCCCTGTGGCATCCTGAAAATGTTCCCTTTATCCCAAATCTCTGCCTTCTATTAGTTAGCTAATTCTCTATTCGCACTAAGGGCTCTTATCTTAGTAAGTAGCCACATGTGCAGTATCTTATCAAATATCTTTTGGAAATTCAAATATATTGCATCTATTGTCTTACCTTTTTCTATCCTGCTTTTACCTAATTAAAGAATTCTAATAAATCATGAGCCTTGCTGACTCTGATTGATTATATTATTTGCCACTAAATGTTCTACTTTTTTAGATTTACACCAGGCAGGTCTGATTGGTCAAGGCATTGCCCTAGGGAATGAACCAGTGATGACTGGGACTGATTTTGTTCAATTGTAAGTGGAATTATGTATCAACTGAAAACAAAAAATGCTGGAGATCACAGCGGGTCAGGTAGCATCCATGGAGAGAAAGCAAGCTAATGTTTCAAGTCTAGATGACTCCAGCATCTGCAGTAATTTGCTCCTAAATTACATATCAACAGATGTAGTTTCCAATGTGCACCACACTGTGAGCCCAAAGATTATTAGCACGCTGAAGATTATTTAGCAACTGTTGATCAATTGCAGAATCACATGTAATGTGTATTGAATTTTACAAGCGTAGGCTGGTGAAATATGGCCAGCACTTTGCCTGCTATGAACACCCAATAGGGACATACATTTGATCCATGCCACACAGTACAAAATATTGTTTCACCTTTACATTCGTACGGTTGCAAATGTCCTGATGAGACAATAAGATTTGATCATGTGTGCCCTTTTCGGCAATACTGTTTCTCTATCCTTGGCAAGTGCACGCAACTTGGAGTCAAGCTAAGGACACAAACAGCTTTATAATAATGCCCAGTGACAGCCTCTATCTAGCCTAACGCGTAGAAGGGCAGCCACAAGGGAAATGAGCTGGAGGACAGTCATCACCCAGGTCTGAATGCCAACATCCAACAGTGCCTTCAGAAGAAGGAAAAATAAATTGGGCAGAGAATAAACAAGCCAAGACCAGTGGAACGTGACGGTGTTTCTGAATGGAACACTGCAGGGAATGAGTGCAGACAGTCATATGATTCACAGAGAACAGAATCACTCACAGAAACTTCAGCACAACTGAGGTACATGAACAAACAAGTTTGTTGCTGGAATATAACATGCATCACTGAGGCATGAGGTGAGAAGTAATTACATCAATCAACACTCAGCTCCCTTATTGCAGCATACGTGTTACCAAGCCCTGAAACAGATTGAATTCTCTGGCTGTTGTGGCCCCTTTAAAGATGTGCAGAGCT